TCATTACATACTTGACACTCTGAAGGCGTTTAATGTGCGAAAGTAGAGCACCCTGTTGGAGAACAACAGAAAAGAGATTGGATGAATTGCTTAATCCCTACTTCGTTCGTTCTCCGACAGACTGCGCTACTTGCGCACATAAAACGCCTTCAGAGATTCGAGTATGTAATGATCTGAGATCAGCACGCACAACATGTTCGCAACAACAATTGCTGCAGACGCAGAAGAAGGCGAATTGTTCGGTTAGAAAAAGAAGGGTATGATAGGTGGTCTGCATGCAACGAGAGGGTATGTATTCGATCGACGTGAATCGAAAGAAAAATAAAAACTAGCCGTATTAAATGACATGCCGTAACTAGCTTTTCACCGAAACCAAAAATGACAGGGGAGGCTTTCGTAATTTCAAGGTTCCGTATTAGCCATGTGTCAATGAAATCTCCGGATTTCGGAAAAATAGGGCTATCGTTTTGGATGCTGTGGAAGCCAAGTATAGTCAAATACAACCCCATGGATCGTATTCAATACATCAAATAGGCAGACCATCGCTGAGATAGTATTGATATCGATTGACTCAACATTTATAAACATCGACTCAAAAGTCAATCGAGTAATCATGTGGGGGCGGGTTTTCGTGATTGATTTTTTATTCCTATGAGATGAGAGAAGAAATTGTTAGGCCTTTTTTCAGCTTTTTTAATTGAGATCTTACAATTTTTGTCTGATGTGATATGCTATTGTTTTGAAACAAACGATAGATTGAACCACTATCGAATACGATCAATTGCGCCCAAATTAAATTATTTCGATTCTTTAACTAATGCGACAACACAGGGAGGGGTACCGGCCATTAATCCCATCACAAATCAGGCTAATTCACTGGCTCAGCTTGGCAGCCAACCTACAGTTGCCATATTTTGCCAAAAACTAGGGCAGTTGTCTACATGCAGGGTGTCTCAGGTTTGACAAGTGGAATTTTAAGAGGCGATTCTTCAGGTAAAAATTAGACCGTTGCCTACGTAGGCAACGATTAGACCGTATTTGCCTTCGAACGTAGGTCCCTAAGTTAAAACTCGAGAGGCTACAGCCCAACAAAGTTTAAAACAATCTTCGCTTTTATGAAATCTGTGCACAGTTTTGTGTCAATTGCGCGTCATAAATATTCGTAGCCAGGAGTAATTTTCGATGATAAATGATGTTGGTTCTGTTTTTAAGATGTTTCTGGGGCGAGGGGGGGGGGGCTAAAATTGAACTAAAAATAATTATAAAATTTAGCACATTTTAAGTCGATGACTCCCAAAAACATCCTAAAAACTATATTAACATAATACTTCCATCGCAAAGCATTTGGCACAAAAAATTGTTCCTGGCTACAAATTTTCATGAAATTCGACCCAAAATTGTACCTTAGATTCTTTTTTTTTTTTAAAAAAAAAGGGGGGCTTTCTCAAAATTTGAAGAGCTGTGGCTTTACAGGGCTCAACTTAAGGACCCACGTTTACAAGAAAAAAAAAAATCTTATTTTTATGTTCAGAACCGGCTTAGAAAATCCCGCTGGTTAAACCCAGGGCACCCTGTATTCCGAAGTAATAAAACTGTATATTATGACGAAATCCGGCAAAGGTGCGCGGGCTCCTTCGCAGCCCTCGAGCCGCGGCCGCTGCGCCGCTTGATGTGGCGCGGAAGGTGGGGCACGGGGGGCACGGAAGGGGGGCGAGCGCCTTTGTGAGGACGATAACAAATGAAAATTGTATTTCACTCGTGAGTGGCATTTACGGGCGCCTCAAAAAGCTCGGATCCAATTGAAAAATAGGCAATGAGATAAGCTCTTGATAGAATTATTCGTGCCGCTGCCGCATGCCGCTCAAATCCGCGAATCCCGGCTTCCCGCGGCGCGGCGTGCTTTGCGATATATCGATTGATCTTCCATATAAACCCCTGGAAAAGGATCGATAAACAGGGTGTGCTTTGATAATCGATCTTTACCATATCTTCAAATCGAGGAATATCGACAATCGATCCTTCACGCCTTGCCGTTGCGCTGAATAAATTGAATTCGAATTGCGGATCCTGATTTGTGCGGATCGGAGGGTCGGCATTCCCCGGCGTGCTTCCGCTTCGGTGGGGGGGGGGGGGGTGCTCGAAATTTCGCTCTCTTTGATTTTTGCGCTGGTTTGTGTTTTAACCGGTGAGCTCACATGTCAAACGAAAATGCGAATCGAGGCCTCCCTGCGCGCGGTTGAAGATCGCTCTCGAATATCGGTGCGTCGGGCACATCGTTTGTAGTGACGATTCTGGTTCGTCCGGAATTTTTCCGGAAATTTAGCATCCTCGGCTTGTAATTGGCCCGATGGACGTAACTTTAGGGACGTTTTCAACCGCTCGAACAAATTGAGGGGAAACCGACGACGTAAATTTGCATTAGTGGCCAATTTGTCGTTCCCCAACGAACAAACCTAACTCTATTTCAAGGTTGCAAAATCAACTGAAAATTAAATGTTTTACACGAATATGACGTCGCATTTCCTTCCAAGATTTTGCTGATTTTCGCCTTGATCAGATGGTAAATTACGGAAATTCTCGACAGTCGAGCAGTAAAAAACTAATTTCGGAGGGGAACTTTGTAGCGTTGAGTTATAGGTAAGCCCCTTCGTATGGGAACATCGGATTGTGGGGCTGAGAATGTCATACATAATTGATTGATTTGCCTGAAACCGAATAATTTATCACCAAGGTACCAAAAACAACGACGTAACCGTGGTAAACATGGCAAATTTAGATCAGTGGCGCTGGAGAGCCTAAGAACACCGACGTAACGACGTCAGTTATTTTACTCAGATTTACGCAATGGACCACTAGACAAGGTACGTATTTAAGCATTCTAATACATGTATCTCAACTAGAATTTCACGTAAAACACGATGCGTGCAACGAAAATTACTGAAACCAACTCCTAACGGAGATGTTAACATTTTTATTTCACATTGGTTACGAGGAATTTGAACTGCCCGCTCACAAGAAACTCAAAGCTCTGCGTGAGTCAAATCGCGCACTACAACGGTTTCAGCAAGCTTCTCAATCGAGCAATGTTCATTTCCCACCATGTATTTTTACATACATACGAGTCGCTGTTATAGCGCTCTTTGGCGCTTTGCGACACCTAATCGCCACAAAGCTCGGTCTTCCCACAGGTTATCAGGGAGTTGACACTCCCTCATCTCACTTAACACCCCCTGTCGCCAACCTCTCACTGGGCGTCCCCTACGCCATGTATTTACGCCTACCATGTATTTTTCAAACTATAAGTAATTCACTATAGCTGAGCCAAGTGTCAAGATTGAGGTTGCCAGATTTTTTTTATCGCAGAGACGTTCATGATAACGTTTAGCGCACGATGTGAGTCACGTAGACCATTGAGTTTTCATGAGCGGGTGGTTTGAATTCACGCTCCAAGAATCATAAAATGCCTTTAGAAGGAGTTGATTTCGGTAATTTTCGTTGTGCGCATCGTGTTTTACGTAAAATTTTGGTGAAGAAACATGTATCAGAATGCTGAAATTCGTACCTTGTCTAGTGGTCCATTACGCGCTCTACGAAAGCGAATTATTTGATCTTATCACTGGTCACTTACTTTTTTTTCTACGCCCAAATTTTCTCCTTAAAATAGGTTTTTTGATACTTACGTTTTTTTTTTAAACTATTAAGTATGTTAGTCTCCTGAAACGCGTCGTCTTTATCTCTTCATATTGTAGAGTAGATTCAATCTTTTCCATCCCTCTCTCCTTTCTTTTAGCATAAATACGTCCATTTATTCTACTGCACTACCCAAGTCTTTTTATTGGTATGATTCGCATTTCAGGTGAATTAATTAACTTTCCAATTTTTATAGCAATGTATGTTTGCCCATGTAACTTTTTTAGCTAGGAAAAATTCATTCAGGAAAATATGCCTTTCACTTTTTCGGGCGAATGGTGTATGTACCTGGAATCTTTCTTGTTCCCGATCTCATGTATTTCTTAATTACACGACGATGTGCATTCCGAGCTTCGTAAGGCTCATCTCTCAGTCATCATCCGTCAAGATGTTAATGACCAGAAGATGAGCTTTACAAAGCTCGAAATGCGCATCGTCGTCTAATGAAGGAACACAGGAGATCGGGAATAAGGAAGATATCAGGTGCACAAAAATGCATACCTACATAAAAATCGCTTTATAGCACTCCCTGGTGCTCTAAGACACCTAACCTCCACTGCCCTCTGTCAAACCATAACCCTTCGCGCTTTGAGCACCCTCACATTTTTGCCTCCATCCTATCCCTCTAACCTCTTATAGGGCGCCCTCTGCGCCTTCTCCCAGGAGGAACCCAATCAAGGACCTTCTTTGGCAACCTGTATCCTGTCATTCTCTGAACACGACCGTACCAAAAGAGCTGTTTCGTCATAATGCCATGCTCGGTAGTCCGTTTGGAATCCATGATCTGCTGTACCGATTCATTCCTGACGCGATCCTGTCTGGAAATACCAGCGGATCTACGCCAGAAGTCCATCTCTATTGCCTCTAAAACCAACACAAAAATGAATTCGCTCTCTTATTTCCCAAGTAGCAGAGGCTGCAACAACTTGCAACAAAATCGTTTGATTCTTGCAACTAATAGGTAGGTGTGTAGATTGCCTACTCTTTCCCCCGAAGGAGCTATCATTGTCGGATTTAGTTGCAATTAAGTTGAAACATGTTTCAACTTCAAAGTATTGCTGGTTGCCTATCTTTAGATTTTAAACAACTTTGGTGCAGGAATTTTGCAATCTCAGTAGGTTGCAACTTTGTCTTCCGATCAGATCGCCGAAAATCGGCACTTATCCACCAAAAGTTGCAACTTTGTTGCAACTAATACCAACATTGTTTCAACATTTTGCAACTTTTACATTGAAAAACGCTACTTGGGTTGTGGGGGTTAATCATAAAACTGAAGAGTATTGAACATGTGCTTATTTCTTTATTTGCAGGTTACGATGAGGTGGCTCCCTGCGATACCACCAGTGCGAGAAGGCGAGGATAAGAGAATGGACCCGAGGACGACGACAGGACCGGGATCTCGGCGGTGGTAAAGGGAGCGGACGGTCGGCTAGCACCTCGGCGATGGACATGGACAACTCGCCGGAGCTGGTGGACGTGCTCAAGCTGTCCAAGAAGCGCCTCAAACGGCTCCGATGAGATGATCGTGAATATTATGGACGAGCTGATCGCGACCTTGCCGAGCAACGTATCCGCATCAGCATCCGTATCAGCATCCGTATCCGCATCCACCGCAGCGGCGACGACGCAATCCCTCCTCCGGTCATCGACCTCCGTGACGATCAGCGTCACCTCGGTCACGATCAACTCGGTGACGACGGCGATGGCGATCCAGCAGACGACGCTGGCGGCGGCGACGACGACGGCGGCGGCGATCCCGACGGCGGTGGCCGAGATGGTGGCGCACCAGAGCATGGCGCTCGTCATCACCAAGGCCATCATCATGGGCACCATCATCGTGGCGGCCGTCCTCGGCAACGCCCTCGTCATCATCTCCGTCGTCCGGCACCGCAAGCTCCGCATCATCACCAACTACTACGTCGTCAGCCTCGCCTTCGCCGACCTCCTCGTCGCCCTCTGCGCCATGACCTTCAACGCCAGCGTCGAGATCACCGGCCGATGGATGTTCGGGTAATTTCTCTCTTGTCGAATTCTGCTTGAGTAACTTTATATGCAGAGTATGGACAACTCGAAACTTTGGAGGTTAGGTTTGATCAGGACATGTAGTTCTCAATCAGAGACAAGAGACCCTCCACTAGTATCTTGGTCATAGTGAAAGCTTTCACTTTCGGGACTTCAGCATTCTACTGTTGACTTACCTAAACTGGGAAACTAGTTTGGCTCATGATGTCACCCGAAGCTTCTCATCCACCATGTGGGTAGTTCAACAGCCGAAATTAGGATGATGACTGTTGCTCCCTTATAATTGTCCATAGGGAATTTTTGAATACCCAGAAGTAAAAGCTTCCACCTGTCGCGAAGAGGCCAGTGGAGGGTCTCTTAAGGCCCAAAAAGGCAGCCAACATATGAACTCGAATTATCCATTGGTACTAATTCAAACTCCGAGAGTATGTACACCGATCAAAAATTATAAAAGCACGTATAAAAATTTGATTTTGCATAAATTTTCTCAGCTTCAAAGTCTTTATCCTTAAAAACGCTTGTTTACAATGCGCTGTCGGCCCTATGGATTAATCTTTCGAATGCTTAGGTTGGCAGTGGCACTTTTCTGGTACTTTTCGTTTTTCACGTTTTCGCCCTTTTGGGCTCTAAGAGCTACATAAATCGAGTTGTCCATCCTCTCCCTATGAAAGTACTCTATAACTTCTGCTTTTACCCAGCTCAATCGCTTATTGACGCAGATGCCTGCAGAATCTGCAGGCAGCTGTATAATTGGGCCACCCTAAGTGCAGATACAGTAACTTGATAGAGAATCTACTTTGCATGGAAGTCATAGGATCCAAAAATGGCGGCGCTTTGTTTTGGTTTTTGATTATGGGAGGGGGGAGGTCACTGCCAAATTGTAATGGTTATCACCAGCCGCTCTTGCTGCTAACCGTAGAGCGAAGAAGTCTGCTTTAACTTGCTAACTCAGAAACTATGTGAAAGTGGAAAGATAGGGTGTGCTTGTGGTGAGCTGTATAAGAAATAATGTAAAAGTGGGTATAATTCCTTTTGAGAAAATAAAAACGCGTAATTTGGCATTAAATCATATGGAACTGAGCGCTAACTCGTGATCCGTGGGCATGTGGCAAGAGCCGTGTGGACAGGGCTCATGAGTTAAAGACTGATGACCTAGTCGTCGCTTGTGTCGCGCCTCCTCGCGCTCGGTCCTCGCCGTTGACGTCACTGGCGCTTTTAGAGTCCCATTCGTTCTTATGGCCCAAGCACTAACGAGCACATCCGATCTTTCCACTTGCACATAGTTCCATTTCACATAAATACGTCCAAATATGCTTTGATCTACGTCATATTTCTACTTATCCTGCCTTTGTTTTTCGTCAGGTACTTCATGTGCGACGTGTGGAACTCGCTGGACGTGTACTTCTCGACGGCCTCGATCCTGCACCTGTGCTGCATCTCGGTGGACCGCTACTACGCCATCGTGCGCCCGCTCCAGTACCCGATCACCATGACCCACCGCACGGTGAGCTTCATGCTGGCCAACGTCTGGGTCCTCCCGGCGCTCATCGCCTTCACGCCCATCTTCATGGGCTGGTACACCACCGCCGAGCACGAGCTCTTCCGCCGCAAGAACCCCCACGTCTGCAACTTCGTCGTCAATAGCTATTACGTCATCATCTCCTCCTCCGTCTCCTTCTGGATCCCGGGGGTCGTCATGCTCACCATGTATTATAGGTCAGTCACTCATTTTCTTCTTTACTCATAGAACCAGAGCTGCCTTTTCCGGAATTCATTAAAAAATTCGGAACTCTACTTTAATTTCTGCACAATGTGGTCTGGTTCAAGTGTGCCTAAATTGCAGAATGGACCCCTAGACAAGGTACAAATTTCAGCATTCTGATACATGTTTCTCAACTAAAATTTCACGTAAAACACGATACGCACAACGAAAATTACCGAAATCAACTCCTTACGAAGATATTTAATGATTCTTGATGTGTGAATTCAAACCACCCGCTCATGAAAACTCAATGATCTGCGTGATTCACATCGCGCGCTAAACGTTATCATGACAGTCTCTTGCATTATAAAAATCTGGCAACCTCAATCTTGACGCTTTGGCTCAGCTATAGCAAATTGCTTATAGTTTGAACAAAACATGGAAGGAAATGAAAATTGCTCGATTGAGAGGCTTTCTGAAACCGTTGTAGTGCTCGATTTGACTCACGTAGAGCTTTGAGTTTCTCGTGAGCGGGCAGTTCAAAATCCGCGTAAACAATGTGAAATAAAAAGGTAAATACTTCGTTAGGAGTTGGTTTCAGTAATTTCCGTTGCGCGAATCGCGTTTTACGTGAAATTCTGATTAAGAAACATGTATCAGAATGCTTGAATTCGTGCCTTGTCTAGTGGTCCATTTTGAAGTAAATGGGGTTTCACTGAGGCGGGTCGAGGCGCATTGGCGCCTACAAACCTAAGGGGATACTTCAAGCATTGCGCAATGCGTGAAGTATCCACTTAGGTTTGTAAGCGCCAGTGCACGTTCCGCGCTTATTCGTTGATTTATTACCTTGGGTTTACCCTGTTTGCAATCTTTTCGATAGAACTGCCATTTCTTAATTATTCCAGATTATCCGACTTTTTTCCGAGGTGGCGATGGAGAATTTGCAGGTGTCTGAAATTTAAGGAATTTTGTGTTTCAGTGGTAACTACTGAGTGACCTGAACACGAGAATACGATTGGTTCATGAATTGAACAATTATTGGAGAAGATATGACAAAATGATCTAATCTGCTAAAATACAATGATGTGTTTAAATGGGAAATGCCGCCAGATGACGTCACTAGGCGATGCATTTTCTCACTTTTAATTCTATTTTTAGACTATTTCCCATATTAGAAAAGAAATTTAAAAAATACAGTGCGATCGGCTCTTTAAGCACTTTCAGATGTAGCAATAAAAAATGTGCATGCAAATTCTCCATTTTAGCTATATTCTACCTTTTTCTCGGAATTTTTGGGTTCTTTGTCAGTTTGACCGAATATATTATCATATTCACAGATTCTTTGATCAAATTTGACCATCTTTGGAACTAAAAATCCGGGCGTATTTTGGAATTTTTCCCCGGAAATTTTGAAAACATCGGAATTTTTCTTCTTTTTTAAGCAAGAACTAAAAGATACTCACATCCAACCGCTCCTCCCACAAGTTATAACTGTCTAAATACAGCTCTGTGACGCACGAAACTTACTCGCTCCGATCTCCGATGCCTTAGAAAGCCTTTTCTTTCACCGGTTTCAATTTAAACGGGCAAAAGGAACTTCTACGTGCGTCTACGAAGTTTACTTTCTGCATTGAAACTGTTTTAAATTTGACATATATTTTTCAATAGGAAACTACTACTACTGACCCATAAGTAAAAGCATCTATCCGCACAGGGGAAAAAATTGTACAGACGTTGTTCCTAAAATGAAGTAGTAGTTCCTTATTGCAAAATATATTCCTTTTGTTGTAATGTAAACTTCTGAAACTTCAAAAATATAAGATCAAAAACTGAAACATGGAGATTACGCCTCCGCCAGTTAGCGTGGACCGACGTTAGGTACATATTAAGAAAAGAGATAACGCTGATAACGCACAACGTTTTTAATTAAAGAACTCGCTCGTATTGGGCATTAGCGGAGGCTCTGAAAATCGCTGACTGGCGATGGAGTTGGACGAGCGATGCAGCGATGGACGCTGATGAGAACGGTGGCTAAGATGAGGTATCAACGCCCGGGTTTTATGCTCGTTGAATATTAACGGGGAGATTGCAAATGCAGCGTTTTGAATGGGCAAAAGATAGCCACTGGACACGAAACAAGATAAGACGAGGATTGATGCCCGCTGCCCGCCCACGCTCCGCTCTCGTGCAGTGAGTGATAAAATACTCTAAGTTTTCCTCTTCATTTCCATGTTGCCGCTAGCTGGAAACTCGTTTCGCAAGGGGAATGTAAAAATGGAAAACCGATGTTTTAAAAAATGAAAATTGAACATTTGTGTTTGTTTCGGTCATAAATATTAAGTTTGATCAAAAGAAAATAAGACCCTTTCAGTAGTTTTTAAGGATTTAATTTTTGAAAAATAGAAAGCGCCCATAGTTTATAGGAATTTCCCCGTCTTTTTTTTAAAAAATACTGATCTACGACGCTTGTTTTAAGCTGTCACTAATTAATACCCTATCGTGGAGCCAAGAAACCCCAGAACGTCCGCGAGGACTCCTCGACGAGAAGATACACAGGGTGGTGGTCGGGAGGGTGCGAATTCGATCAACATTAATCAATCGACACCGATTCAATCGAGAAATTATTCAAAAACCTGTGTCGATTCAATCGAAATGAATCAATCTAAATTTTAAAACGTGAACCGATCGACATTGACACCGATTCGATCGATTCACGGATCCGTCGATTGATTCGAGAGTTTGTCGATTGATTCACGAGTTCGTAGATCGATTCTCGTTTTAATTTTTCGATTAATTCGCGTTGATTAAATCCATGCCCTCTTTCCGATCGTGTGTTCTAACAAGATTCTAAAATCTCAGACGTGTATATCCTAACATTTGTTGAAAATGGATAGATTATATGCCGCTGGGAGCTTTCGCTGACTGAGCCTATTTTACTGACTTTAGCAGCGCAACTTATACCCGGAATTCAGAGCTAAATGAAATCAAAACGAGGCATCGGAAGTGCTATTTGCTTCCTTACAGATGGCCGAAACTTAGAATTTCACTCTGAAAGGAAGTGGGGTGCACACGCAACACCAGCTCTTTAAGAAAATTCTGCAGATCAACTTACGAGAATGCCCGTGCTTCCTAAGAAAAGTTAGCACCCTTTCTCTGAACGCGCGCCCCGTAAGAGTGAGCCTGATTCTTCGAAGGAAACTTTTGCCTCGTTTCCGACCTTTGCCTCTGAGATCTCTGCGATATCTGTGAATGATGTATCATTCATTTACAACATTCAAAGAACTACGGTTGATCCTCTTTGCTGCGTTGCAATAGGTTTGCAAATATATAAGAGAGTTAAGTTGAGATGTAGAAGATGAGAAAATTAGCACTGTTTTATTTGCCGCGCTTCACTCCTAAAACAGTGGATTCGAGTAAAATGAAAAGTCGCTATATTTTTTCGTTAACGTATTCTTAGTCGAAAGTTCTTCGGAGTGTCGTTAAGTTGTTTAAAAGCAAAATATTTAATTATGTTTTGTGCGTTTGTCCGGTCTACTAAAGAGGGAAATTGAAGCACGCATACAACACTGGGGGAAAAACCACTTGAATTTGCCGTAAAGTATATTTATACTTCAATCGCGAATTACATTCATTGCTTCAATGTAGAAGTTCAGCTCGATGTAAGCCCCTATATCTTTTGATTCAAACATCTTTCCTGCTTGATTCAAGAAAAAGTCTAATTGGCGGTGTTTTTAAGAATATGCTTGCTGAGGTCAAGTCAGTTTTTCTCAGGGATTCTTTCCGCGTTTCATAAATACATTCACAATCGTTTTGTGCGCTTCTGGGTACCAGATGCGCCCTTTCCAGCCGTTCGACTCCCCCGATGTAACATGTACTATACTACATACCGTTTTGCCTTATGGGTAAAGACGCCATTCTGGTACACCCGGGAAAATTTGATTTTCTTCTGCATCTGGTATTCGTAAAAGTTTTCGTGAAATGTTTTGCTTTTAAGCATAACAATCTCGCACGGACGTATTTAAACTATTTTAAACTATTTAAACTATTTTGGGGCTTCGTTATGCTTAAATGCCTCATATTCGAGGTTGTAGTTTCAGATTGATTCGAAAAAATCACGAACAGTCACGTGATCACTTCATTTTAGTGACGTATTACTGTGCTATTTTGTGATTGGTTCATTTTCTCGGCGCAGCATCGTCAAGCGTCAGCTGTTTGCGGCTCTGGGTTGAAGGTTTAAGGTTGCCGGCCAGGTTGGCCTAGTGGTTAGCGCGTCTGACTCTAGGTCAATAGGTCCCGGGTTCGAATCCCGGTGGTGGCGTTAAATTTTCATGGAACTGACGAGTGGATCTGCAGAAACAGATTCCACCCGGCCTTAATCCCTGAAAATTTGAAAGCCTGGAGCATGGATGTGCCCAGATCCTATAGATGTCTAAGGACAATAAATACTGTCTATCGATGGCTGTAGGTTCCAACGGAACATAAGCCAATAAACCAGCAATAAAAAAAAACAAGCAGTGAACTCCAACACAATGTGTTGATAAGGCGCGTCATTAACTCGCACATATCAACCCCTTTAGTTTTCATTTACAGAGATTTCAAAATAGGCAAACAGCATAAAAAGAGAATTCACGATCCAACACTGCGAGGTCAAAGACGCACCTTGACGAGACCGTGTATTGTGAAAGTAGAAAGCTATTCGATCGAATTTAAGTTTTTTGATCTGCCTCAAGCAAAATCTTATCAGATTCTTGAAGAAAAGTGCTCGGGAATAATTTAAGCGAAGAAAGGAAAAATTCTGTCGAACTCCTAGAAGATAAAGTCGATTTAAAGGTATTTTGGGGCTAAAATACCCAAATCACCGGTAGTAAAAATCCCGTTATATTATTGAAAAGAAATTGACTCGATATAAATGCAATTGCATTAAATACGTCTTGATTTTGTTATTTTAAACGTCTTTCCATGCAAAGAAGTTCAACCATGTCGTTGCTTTATTCATTCATGAATTGAAAGTAAG